TTCCAATATGCGTTTTTGCTGCCTGTTGCAGCGCTCTGGCGCTGCACGGCAAAAACGCATAAAAACTAATGGCGTAAAAAAAACTACCGTGACTGGTTCTTATCACAATGCAAATTAATTTAACCTTTTCAAACAGTGTTTGCTGATCAGCTACCAACAGATCCACTTTCTTGATTCCATCGTCGCTGGAGCTCTTGGAATACATTTTGCCAACAATGCGCGGTGACGAAGTTGACATGTTATATTTTCGAGGCGAACTAATACTACTACTACTACTCGGAACAAGTTGGCTTTGTGCAGTAGTAGTTCGTCGGTAGCCGTCCGAAATCAAGCGTGTCCTGGCATTTTTTGGCACCGTCTGTTTTGATTTGAAACTTTTTACGACCGGAGATTGCTTGATCGGAATTTTATAAACGTTGACAATTTTGAAATCCTTATTTTCGATACCCGTGCTTTTTGCGCCACCATTCTTCTGCAATTTTCAAGGACAGTGCCAAACAAAAAAACTTGCTGGTAGCGAAATCGGAATCACAGGAACGTAAGCAAGCTGTCTGGCAATGAAAATGGGAGACCACCAAAATAGAAAGAGTGAGTGATTCGACTGTCCGGATGTAAAATCAGTAAATTTTCCCTCTTTCTCTTTCCTTCTTCTCTCTTATTTTTCCTCAGTTTGTTATCTTCAAGGAAGAAGAAGGGCACTGCATGGTCACTGACAGAAACTTGAACACAACACCTACAGGCCCACTTAAATTGGCAGTATAACGGAACACGTCCATCGCGTCACAGCGTGAACTCGGATCTCGAGGGTGCGCATCCCATAGCTGATGCATATGGCCAGCGGTCTATATTTTACAGCTCCAAACTGAGTACATCTGCATGCGCTTCCTGCAGCTAAAGCTTTCTCGATCGGAAGAGATTCCTAAGCAAAAGCGTGCTAAGGTTAATTTGAAACAAGACATGAAACGAGAAGTAGTCGATTTTTTTATTATGGAAATGTAAAAAGGGCCAATGACCATCAAATTATTATACCAATCAAATAATCATTAAGCCAGAAAAATATCAACAAAGATAGTTAAATTTTAGGAAGTAACAAAAGATACCTTAGTGTCATTTATTTGTTCAAGCTCTGGCTTAGCTTTCGTCATCTCACGCTCAGAAGCAGTTGTTGTAGCGGAAATCCAATGCTCTCCGTCCTTTTCCAGTCTGTTTTTTGCTTCCCTTATTTCTTCATATCTACTTTCATTTATTTCATACATATTTCCGAGAGCATCACTCTGTTCTGTTTGCTCCGTTAGCTTGAAATCGGTAGCAACGGAATCCAAATTATTTCCGGAAATTTGTTGCATTTTTACTTTAGTCTTCTGTTCCATGCCTTGCTCCTCATCACGCTTTGCTGCACCGACTTGCGGCTCTGTCCATTTATAGCCATTCAGTGTTTTTGTTTTATTCCTGAAACCTGTTCGCAGTATCTTCCCTTTCATCTCAGGCGTGTCTTTTGAAGTAACCACTTTCTTACTCGATAGTTTCTCAGTATCTTCGGTACCGGGTAGAGCAGATGAGAAAGTCGACTGAACACTGCTCTGGCGTAGCGGCAGGATGTCGCTCATGAGGCGCGAGTATTCTGCGATTGATTTCTCTGCAAAATTAGCTCATTAAAATGCATGATGAGCGGCGCGTTGCATGAAGTGAGATAATGGTCACTCAGCCTACCGATGCAAGGACTGTTCGGTAGCATGCCGGCCTGGTACCGCAAGCATAGTGCGTCATCCTGCAAGCAGTAGCACGGATAATCGAGATGTGTACCACGAACAGCGATAATCGCCTGTCTGCAGTGATCCAGCTCCGTAATGCTGCACTGCCCATTGTGCACCGGACAATACTCAAAGAAAGCTGCCCAATAAGGCCTGAAGTTCCAATTACTACAGCACACAAAGAGGGTTGTTGCTGCTGGAAGATGAGTTATATTCACAGTTCAAGCTAATTAGCAGTGCTCCATTTAAAGAATTATTGAGCTGTGCCTGTAGTTAATTTTAATCCCACAGTCAAAATGATTATTAAATTCCATGAACTCCCCATGCTTTTTTTACAAAAGTGAGTTGCGCTGGGATCGTGCATTTTTTGTCTGTCACTTATTTTGTTAACTAAGACCAGATACCCTCTTTTAGAAAAAAAAATTATTTTTCAGAAATTCCGTCCTACAAAACTGTGTAATTGTCTCACGTAAGTTAATTATTGGATTTGTCGTTAAATTTCAATTCACCTCTAAAAGGTGTACAGAAGCTTTTCAGAGATATCGGTAGGAACATTTTTCGTGGGCAAAAAAAGCATACATTAATAGGAGAAATGAATTTTTAACGGCAAAGATAAATTTTGCACTAAAGACACCTACTGTCCGTATTGTTTTAGTACGAAAAGATATTTTAAAGGTTTTTTTTACATCTGTCTGATCTGGTTATTGCTATTCCTGTTCCTTTTATATCCGTATTCTGCTCTATCTGCACTAGAGAGTTTCTTATGCAAAAAAAGCTGTACACACAGAACTGATACCAAAGTTTGTCTGATTCTTGTTGCAACCTACAAGCTTCCAGTTTCGCAGTACTTAAATTTCGAGTACAGAAGCTTTTTTTCAGGATCTATTCTCACCAACGGAAGCTGCAAATAACTGTTAAATCATTAAAAGCTTCATTTCCTTTTTATTCCTCGATTCAACTCAGACTGGTGCATTTTTTCCTTTTTAATATCGCTATGAATTAGCATTTCATATTTCTTTGCTTTCTAAAAACTTTTTTAGAAATTAAGAAAATAGAGTCTTTATTTTTCATTTCATTTATGAAATTTTTTTTCAAAATTTCATTACTTTCAAAATTTCATTTTTTTTCTCAAAAAAAATTTCATTCATATATGCCATTTACAAAAATGCATACATTTGTGCATACATATTTAAATCAAATAAAGTGTTGATAAAATTTCGGCACTTTTTTTCTCAGACCTATTCATTTCTCTTTATTAAATTAGCAATGGTGGATGACTTATACAGTTACAGGCGACCCCGACTAACGTGTATAAACATCAAGATGGGTACAAACTGGAAAACTAACTGGCACTGGCGATCCATGCGGCACCTTTCTACAGCCTCCGTGCAAGTGAGCGATACCGTATCCTTGTCGGAATACAAGCAGCGAGGATAAAATATTTGCTGAAAGGCAAATTAAAATAGGATCTCAGTGGAGGGACTCGAGCAAAGTAAACGCAAACCTGATACTTGAAGCACTCGGAATCCAGCTTGTCACAGTAGCAAAACATGAGTGATTCCACAGAAGGTCTCGCAACATAACGAGCAAATCGTTGCACTGCCTATAACTAAGCTCCCAGCAGTAAACAAACTCAATCTTGTGGCTAAGGGAGGACTTTTTGGCCAGAACACCTCAAAAAAATATTTTATGGTTAGGCACTCACAAATTTTTTGAGCGAGGGGCAATTTCCTTCAACAATTCAAGATGGAAATAATTAATGACAGTAAATAACTTAGTAGAAAGCGTACGGCTGCCGGTACGAGGATGTGTTTTTTACACAGTTTCCCCCGCAGTTTTTTTTTCGCCACTGACACGTTCTTCCTGGCAGATGCTTCTAGCTAAAAGAATTGGGACTGGCCACCACGACTGTTAGGAACTATTACGATGACTCCCAATCCATGCCCAAGAAATTCAGCGCTCTGGATGCTTCGGTTGCAGAATTACGTCAAATTTCACATTTTCGTACGTGAATGGCTACGTGAATGCTTTCTTCGCCCACAGTTGCTCAAACACGGTCCTGGGTAGCGTTCAGAAAGTTTCAGCACTTCAGCTGCTCTGGTTGCGGAGTTACGCCAAATTTCATGTGTGTACACGTGGAACGTACGTGAGACAGTCGTTTTTGTATAAGTCGTTTTTGCGTGTATCTGGTCAAAGGCCACCATCGGTTATGCTCAGAAAGTCCAGGTCCTCTGGCTGGTTTAATTCTGAAGTTACAAAAGCGCTTGCGTGAAATTTTCACGTATCCGTACGTGAGATGCAGAAGAGCTGACAATTTACTTACTGCCTGTGTAAGTAAATTACTTGTCAGCTCTTCTGCATCTCACTCTGTGAAGTTCCAGCTTCCTAGCATGGGCCGTCCCCGAAAACACTTTCCCGCCAAAAAAACTTTCACCTGCCCCTGTGTAAGAACCATGTGGACCTTAGCATCCATTTTGAGGATACGAGCCCGCACGTGTGTGTAGATCAAGTCACCAAATTTTCAGCCTTGTAGCTTTTGTGGATCTCGAGATGAACACTCGTTACAGACGCACACACAGACACACATACACACACACACACACACAAAAAGACAACCCCTCGACAATATGCGTTTTTGCATTGCATAGCTGCAAAAAATGCGCAAAAATGGCCAGCGCACCGACTGCCGATGTGAAGATGCGTTTTTTTGTATAGCTCCCCGCGGGTTTTTGTCGCTAACAGCACTGGTTTTTCCGGCAGATGCTTCTAACTAAAAGAATTGAGACTGGCTGCCAGGACTGTCAGAAAACGTTCCCTTAAAATTCCAGTCTTCTACTTTTTCAGGTTCCAGAGTTAGCAAATTACCCGAAGAAAAATTTTATGAGCCTGTACGTGGAAATCACGCATATCCAATGGCTCGTTTTGAGCTCATCAATGCCTACTTCGACGAGGGACATCCCTTTAAAATCACAATCTTCTAACTTTTCAGGTTCTCGAGTTAACAACTTGCCCGTAAAAAACTTTCACGAGCCCGTACTGCGTGCCACGTACACCTGAGGGCTGGTTTTGAACTCGTTAAGACCTACGTGGACGAGGAACATTCCCTTAAAATTTCAGCACTCCAGCTTCTCTGGTTTCCGACTTAGCAGCTTGCTTGTAAAAAACTTGGCGGGTCCGTACGTGGGTACCACGCGGATAAGAGCGCCCATTTTGGGGATGGGGGCTCCTACATGCATGTAGATTAATTTTCTAAAGTCTGAGCCCTCTAGTTTTTGTAGGTCTCGAAATGAAAAATCGGTACAGACGAACACACAGACACACATACGCAGACAACCTCTCGTCAATATACGTCTTTTGCATTGCATAAATGCAAAAAACACATAATAAATAATACCATTTAAATAAAATCGGAATGAAACATTGCAACTTTTTTTAAGTATTTCTTTTCTTTAAACCTGTTATCTCAAAAAGTGCAGCATTTTCATGAACATTTTCAAAAAAAATGAAGCGTTTTGTAAAAAAAAAAGGCGCAGAATTTTTTTCAGATAATGGACTTATTACAACTTTAGTGATAGAAGAGTTTTAGTTTTTTTTTTTTTTTTGGCATTTCACTAAAATCTTGTTAAAAACTGATAAATAATCGCCATTAACAAGAATTTTGTTCGATTTTCCAGATTTAGATAGTTTAATAAATCTGTGCCAGGCACCATTCGTTGACAGAGTTCAAAAATGACGTACCTCTGCGCACTGCTGTCGATTGCAGTAGCCGGCAGCACAACGAATTTGTACTTCACTCATGTGCCATTTACAGGAGTCGGAACGCTCACAACGATGGTGGGCAGCAACGCATGTGCTTGCTGCAACGTTGCTCCACATCAGCAGCTGGATCAGGCTCCTCATAACCATGTGAATAAAAATAAATGAAATAAAATGAGTGAATCAGTGGTGCACTACGAAGCAATGGACAGAGGTTATCGCAATGGACAGAGGTTATCGCAGGTTATCGCATTTGCGTTCATGGGCTAAAAAAATTGTTCACGTGCATGAAGAAATTCAATAAAATGAATTAAGCAGCTAAATTCGAAAAGGCCAGGGGGATTGAAGTTTTAGCCTGTTAAATGAGAAATCAAGACGAAGGGGTGCAAAAGCTAAAGCCAAAGGGACGCAAAAATCTTTGAAGTGATCATTCTGATTGAGGATAGTTAAGGGAACGTATGATTTTCTTATAACGAAAACTTGCCATGACAATCCAGTCAAAATTAAAAGTCAAAACCCCTTTCCGCATTCGCTCTCTTTTGGGAGCCGGAAGTATTTGAAAAGTGGTTCGAGTGGTAGCAAATGCCAACGGCAACAGCGCGCTGGCAAGACTGTCGATGATTTCCTTTTTGAGGATTACCAAGAAGTAAGCAATGGCAGGTTGATTCCTAGGTATATGACAGCACTAGTTTTCCGCTGGAACGAATGAAAGAACAATGGTGGAATTAGTTGTCCCATTTGCAAAATCATACCATCCGCTAAAGACTCATTGCAGCTTTAATTGTTATCAAAACAAGCTGGTCAGCATTAATTTTCGATCAGATAAGTATTAATAGGAAAGAGCAGCAGACGATAATAATGTGACGGAGGCATGAATAGTACAGGAGCATTCGCGCATTTGCAACTTTTAAAGGAATCCAGGAAAAGTTGAAAATGTATAAAATTCCAGGAAATTCTGAATTTTGCTGCAGTGGGGTGGGGTAATGCGTCTAAATGCTGTTGGTACGCAGCGATGAGCAAAGCGGTGTGTTTCTTTTTCTCTCCTCAAAACATCCAGGAGCAACTCTTTCAGCTGAGGCAAGCTGAAAGTGCCTAGCTGTCGCTAACAATTATTTGGTCATTTTCTGACCCAGCGCCGCTCACAGCAATTTACGTCAGTTCTCGTTCAGTGCCATCAAAATGTCACACAGTAATTGGCGAATAATTAAACGTTTGATGTAAACATTTCGCGGCATGCAGTATATCCAGACTTTCAAGGAAGTGCCTCGTAGCGCTTGCAAGTGCAGTATTCATTCTCACACCACTACATGCCATCAGCGAATTTTTCAAACTCCCCACTTTGCTGCACTTAACAGCTTTCCTCTCTTTCATAACAAAATTGTTAGTCAAGAGTTATAACCCGAGCCGCAACTCATTTCCCAAAAAACTGAAGCCAGTTGGTAGAAAACTAAAATAATGAAGGAAAAAAAAATCCGATCCCCTTTACAGTTACGAAATTTATCCAGTAGCAATCAAAGCAGAAATTATTTTTTCGAACATGTCTTATTTTATTTGAATTTTGGCTCAAGCATTTTTTTTACCGACTTGAATTGTTTCTGAGTGAGAATCCGGAAGCTGCTAACGAGTTAGCGACCAATGACCGGTTCTGTGTCCGAATAGCAGCTTGTGGACCCATTCCAGCTTCCGCTTCTAGTGATAAATTCTTGCTACTTAACGATTTTGGCGTTGAAAGTGCACTAGTAATTCTGAATTCCAAAACAAATTCCTGAAACCAAAGCATCAAAGGGTTTCTTTTGAGAATGTATCGCCATCACTATCTAAAATAAATAGAGGCACGCTAGGCTAGCCGATACGATCATGCGTTTTGCGAAGTTGCGCTTAGCGAACGTTTGCCGTCAAGAATTCTCACTGTTTTACACTCAGAGTTATGCAAAATTAGCCGATATGTTGTTTGCGAAATGTTTCCAACCGGTGCGTGAAGCTGAATTTAAAACACATGGATGGGAAACATTCTTTCAAAATTTCAGCTCACTAGTCTTCCGATCTGTGAGTTAGTGACTTTCACACCAAAACTTTGACGTGCCGTACGTGGAATTTAGATATACACAGAAGCAAATTTGAGCTTGTGAGGTCCCTGTATAGGCAGAAAACACAATCTCGAAATTTCGGCCTCCTAGCTCTTTTGGTTCTCAAGATATTAATTTTTCTTGCCAGAAATTTCATGGGGCCGTACTTGAAAAGCTGAATATGAATTAGCGGATTCGCGCGTGAACAGAGGATATTTTCCTAAAATTTTAGCTTTCTAGCTTTTATGGTTCCTGAGTCGAAAGTGAGGAACAGAAAATACATACACAGAGGGGCGTGACAATATGCGTTTTATTTTGCTGTCACACAGCGTAAAACGCATAAAAAACTCACGTTATTGGTAGATGCAGCTGCAGATCCCAGTGCAGGTCTGGTTGCAGCAGTTGTCAGCTCAGTTTTCTCCCAGTCCATCCTTAAATACATCACTGAGAAGCTTTTCTCAAAAATAAGTGCTGCTTCTAGCAGTGTTTTGTGACCTGAGATGCACTATGAAGAAACCACCTGTCGGCATCGTCTAGGAACATTCCGTATTATGCTCTTTGTTCGCATGTTTATGATCAAAAGATATCGGAATGCACTTCGAGCAAACACAGCCACTCATGCCGCGGTCAGTATTGTGCAGCGGAAGCTCTGAGTTTGCGAAGATGTTTTTTTTTTTTCTTTCTAGGTTCGAATCTATTTATACAACCCGGTGCACTGACGCCGTTGCGGTGCAGTCGCCCGAACAGAATCATGGGTTGTGGTCGTTCCGATTTTTTTACTGTTTTTTTTTTCAGCCAGTTTGTTCCTTTTTCACGCCACTTATCCGAAAAAATGTGACTGTAAAATTTTATGAATTTGATGAGAATATGATATGATGGGAACTGAATGCGAAAGTGCAAAGGACCTTGATAATTCAGGATGTGCAAAAACGTCACAGTGGTGGTGCTAAATTTATATTTCAACGCATAATAATATCACTACGCTAGGCGCTTTAGAAGGGAAATAAGCTAGCTGGCGGAAAAACTGTGAAAAAAAAAACATTAATACAGCAGAATTTGGTGCCTCTAATGATAAAATTATTTCTTGCCCATCATATGCTCATCCAGTATGACGAGTTTTCATGTCTTTCGAGCGAAGGAGAGGAAGCAGGCGCCTTCCAGGCTTTTGCTTATTTCGAACTGTATGTATACAAACTTTCAAAAAGAAAAAATATTTTGAAATGCGCATACTTGGCATCAGAATTAGAGAATGGTTCTTGCTTCTTGGCTGCATCCGCTTCACTCGGTTGTCGCTCAGCAGCAGTTATCCGATTTATCCAAGCAGAATCTGTTTGGGTAAATGCATCTTTTGGTTTCGATAGTGGTGGTAATGGTTCTGATAATTTTGTGTCAGACAGTTTGCCAAAGTGTTGCTGTTTTTCAAATTGTGCTGATTGATGCGCACGAGATTTCACTTTAGAGAGCTGTTTTTGTTTCTTGACTTCCTCGTAAACTTTTGTCCGGACTACGTCTTTCTCTGATAGCTGACCAGCCCGCCCAGTTTTATTGTCATCGGTGTACTGTGAATTCGCTTCTATGTGAGGAGTGTAGTATCTGGAGCTTATTTTAAAGCGCTCCGGTGTCGTTTGATTTTCGAGTAATAAAGAATCACGGGGTAGAAAACTAATCAAAGGTGGAACATTTCCAGACTGTCCAATTTCATCTGAAATATCGATATAATGTGATAGGTCCTCCAAGTTGCTCTGAGAAAATACAGCGATAAAGGCAGAAATGTCATTTTTCTGCTATGAATTTTAATCTAGATTATAACATTCTGAATGGATCTAAACTACAAACATATTCTCAAAATATCGAATTCACTGTTAAAAGATTCCTCGTCGATTTTTTTATGAGTAGTGTGGGTCAAGGCTTATGCTACTTAAGTTCTTGCCCTCTAACCGAACAAGTTAGCTCCTAACAGTTTTTGTAGCACTCTATCCTTCCATTTCTTCAGATGCTCCCGAAGATTTTCTTGTACTGTTTATTTGGCTAGTCATTTCCGGCGGTTTTTAAGATCATTTTAAGGAAAAGAGGAGTCATAAAGAGAGTTTTTTTTTTTTCGTTCCAATCTGAATAAGCTTACAGACACATTTATTGAATCGCGTTTGTAATCGTATCCAATGGCAGTCTGAGTTTCGGTCGTGGCACGAGCAGTTACCGAGACCCGTCCAGCTCAGTCCCTCGAATGCTTGCCAACAGTGCTCTCTGAAATTTACTATAAAATATACTTTTTTCAGCACTGGGGCTTGTTCGCTTGAAAAAACGGCTTAGCTGAAATATTTGAAATGTTTTCTCAAAAACCAACTTCACTATGATGCCTAGCGTCGGCGGTGCTTACTAATAGCAGCGCTTGATGCAATAAAAATGCATCAATTAGATTCATAAAGGATGATTTGAAGTGCAAGTCGAATTCAATTTCACTAGCCTGTTCGTCATCAGACATTTGTTTGCGGAATCGACAGCGCAGGCATTCCGGAACACACTCCATAGCTGCCGACAAGAGAGATGCTTCAAACAGATTTCATAAAGCGCCGTATTGCATGGTATAGCTCTTAGTGCCTTCGTATTTTGAAGTTCTTCAAAAAAGCCTTTTCATAAACACACAAAAAAAAACATATCTTTAGCAAACACATAGCCGAAGTGTAATGACCTGATCAGATTACACAACCATATCATCCTGCCTAAACGCTTTAAAATGATTGCAGTTCGTATCCGAAACTTCCTCCAGTCACCCGATTACTAAGCCACTGGCATTGCCATGTCAACAAATTTGTTAAACATTCAGCTTATCATCACATGTTATTATAAATAATTTATTACCACTGTTATTATTACTGTTGCTACTATTATTGTTAGATAAGGCCAGTTGGAAAAGCTGTAACTGACAGAAAAAGGCTCATACCTTCGAACAGTTCGTTTTTCCACTTTTCGATTTGTTGAGTTGCAGGACTCCGTGCACTTCTAATCATATTTCTTCTGGATTCTGTTTTATTCAGCCCGTATGCAGCGGTCGTTTTCATGGACGGAAGCTTGGACAGCCGTCGCTGCGGGGCAGTCCCTCTACTTGCTTCTACTGTTGTGTTTACAGCTGGCGTGGGTCCAGTTTCAATTTCTACACATATTTTAACTGCACTTGGATGTTCTTCCAGTGCAGTACAGTTAGCACCTTTGACTGAAATTTCCTTGTTTTTTTCGAAAATATTTGTTTGAAAAACTTGTGGGGAAAAAATTTTTTTAAGCCAATTTTTATAGCTTTCAAGGTTATATGGCTACGGCAGTAATGCCCTAAGCAAATACCAAGAAAACTAGCATCGCTCGGACAGTCTGTGTAGGGATCCCAATTTAGCGGTGTTGCTGGGATATCTCCACACGATTGATGTAACTATGTTGGTCATTTTGTTTCTGGACTGCTTAGCCCTTACGTAAATACGCCATTTCTTCGGAAGCTGCATGGGTGGATGTTCACATTTTTGTGATTAAGCAAGTTTTTAGTAAAAACAGCCGTTAAGCGGACAAAAATATTTTACAAGCAAACCTATGCAGCAGCTGCATTTGCCACTGAAGTGGTGCAGTAGTCGTTTGGCGCTCTCTCGACACAACTCACTGTCCCCTGAAATAATTCGCAATAGCATTCGTGCAGCTAATTGCTTCAAGGAGTAGTGTGCTGGCAAATTCATTGCAAACTAATTCATGCACAGTTCCAGCTGTAGCTGTGAAGGACACGTTTATGAAGTGAACTGAATGTGACAAGCTTAAAACAGAGAAGAATGGTGAAGCTGCCAGCTGGATCAGAAATGAGAGAAGGAACGCGAAGACGAACCAGCAGCAGTTGAACAGAGCATCCAAATAAAATAACCAACTACTGCATGTAGCACTTGTTGCTGGCGGCAGTTGATTCATGTAAAGCTTAATCAGTCAATCAGTGTTTGAAAATAAAATTAATGATGCACAAAATGAAAAGACAAACCAATGGATGGCTTTTCACACTTCCTAAGAATCTGAATATCGCTAGCACATGACCTGTTTTGATTGCAAGAAGCTCGTAACTGACCACAATTTTCCAATGACCATCCTGCAATTGTAAATTTTCAAGCCGCCTTTTTGGGGTACATTGATCGAGCACATTTGAACTAATGTGAGAATGGGCTACGTATGGATGAGCCTTACGAAAACGGATCTTAAGTGGACGGGCCATTTTGGATAATGCTCACAAAATTTCAGCACTCTAGCTTTGCGGAATTGCGGTGTGAGATGTAAAGAAAATGTGAAAGTTATTTTCACTTCCTTCTGCCCAAAAACGACTCTCGACCATCTTCAGAAAACTTCAGCACTCCAGCTGTTTTGCTTGCGGAGTTACAAAAGCACTAATGTCAGGTTCTACGTGCTACACATGAGGTATAGAGAAAAGTGTAAGCCCAATAAACGCTTACAGGTCCATACTTAGGCGAAAAACATATTGGAAAAATTAGCTTTCTGCTCTCGCATGTCTCCAACTCGAAATCTAGTGTACCCGTGCGTGAGACGTAGACAGAAGTAAAGGCTGAATTTAGACTTGTTAGCTCGCAAATGGACGGGGAGCATCGTCACAAATTTTTGATTTCCTAATTTCTCTAGTTTCCAAAATCGTTCTTCTGCTAAAATTTCTTTCACAAGCACATAAGAACTGGTAAAGGACAAATAAACATTCGTTTTATGCCTGAGGATCCAACCCTTTAAATGCATAAAAATGCATTTAAAAGATGTAGTGAAGAATGCTATGAAGAGTAAATAAGTTTTGTACCACATAAAACTGCTCAAATTTGTTCTCGGACACGACCTATTCTTTTTATCGAAAAATTTTCCTTCGACACGTCAGTGTTATGAATAATATAGGCCAGCAGAGGTCAGGTCTATTGACTTAGCCATTACAAGCTTTTCGTTGATAATCGAAGAGTAAAAATTTGTAACTTTGTAGAGAATAGCTAAGCGTTAGATAAAATAGCATAAAGAACTTGTAAAAAGGAATAAAAGTAGTATAAGTGGTTTACAGCAATTCTGATATGTAAAAAAAAAAAAGTAGAAAAACGAAAAATGCAGTAAAGAGGAGTGAAGTGGGCGCAATGCTGAATATTAAACTGTAATTCAATCAAGAAAAGCAAGCAAATGGAAGAAATGGGAAGTAAATGAGGTGACAAATTTAGAGCTGAAAAAATACCTGCTTGGAAAAGGAAGATGACAAGCAAACTCATGGCTTTTCAGGGACAAGTAGTTCGACGGATCCAGCAGTTGCAGCAGCCATGCTCTGAACTAGTGACAACTGCTGTATTGATCTCGAAAAACATTCACTGCTAAACAGTTGAAATAACTTTAGCCGAAACGCAACGAGATCAGCGCCTGCTTGCGATTCAGACTCTTCCTCCTTCTCCTCCCACGCTTCCATTCCAATTAATTTCCACGTTTTCATCCATTACCATTCCTAAAAAAACTTTATTTTTCAGGAATTACATTGACTGTTCTCTCCATAAGACTTGAAAATTCCGGCTGTTGCTATTTACTTTTCATGTCACCCCTATCTCCTCCAAACCCCCCCCCCCTCTCCCCTCTCCCGCCCCGAGAATTGTAAATTACAGTTAACTATGAAGTGCTTCTCCATTCCCGAAAAAAATTTCCTCATTTAAAAAACCTCAGAAAAACTTTTATCTCTAAAAAGAACCGCACATAAAAAGAGCTTAGGCTCGAACTGTAACTTTAAAACATGATAAAGATGAGTTAAAAAACTGCACTCACATAGTGGCTACATAATTTTTTGGGGTTCACTTTTAAAATAAAGCTACCAAAATTTGGTTCTTTAAGGCATCTCACAGATCTGAATATTAATAATTGCTGTTACATATCTTCTTGGCAAAAAAATTAGAATTGTTTTACAGCCTTGTGTTGAAAGATTTTACAAAATATAGTTAATTCATTGAAAAGCGAAAACATTTCGAAAGCTTCAGTTCAAAAAAGTGGAAATTTACAGGCTGCTGCTGTTGGATGAAAAAACAGTATTGCAGTGAATCTTGTGGGTCAATTTGTTTTCTGATGATGAAAAGTTTGATAGAAAAGCAAAAAGCAGACAAAGAGCCGAAATCGTTTTCTGGATCTTAAGTATTCAGGAATTGACGTCATCATAACTATTCATCAGGAGTGGACGGTGGTCAGTTCGAAGGTGCAGGGCAATAATCTCATCTCAAAATTTAGCGGACCACGGAAATTGGCTTTTTGTTTCGATTACATTTATTTTAAAGTGGAGATTTATAAACAAGCGTTGCAAAAGTATTTTTGATAAATGCCACTTTGGAGCGAGCGTCTAATCTAGTTACGCATAATTTAAACTGTTCCTCGCATTTTTGCCTCTTGCTCCTTTCTTCCCTTCTCCTCCCATTCACACATACTGCAGCACTTCCACAACTTTTTCTTCTCAGAAAGTGCTCGAATGAACTAACCAGTGCCAGTTCCGCACATGTTCGCATACATGCATACGCACCACCACCGGAAGTTGCCATTTTCCTGTCAGCGCTTTCGTTGCAAAATATGCGAGTCAATTCAGGATTCGGTCAGCGAAAGGATACTAATGGTTTTGAAATCAAGCGCATCTTCCTCATGCATTACTCATTAACATGCTCCCGCAAATCACTTAAAGACACTAACAAAGTGCTTTGCGCCAGTTGACAATTGCTCCTCCTTTTTCACACGAGCACAAGAAGGTTGTTCTGCTAATTTCAATCATCTACCGAACTAAGGGCACCGTTTTCTGACACTGATGAAGCCGGAACGCTTTTTCTCCAAGCAAAACGAAGAACAGCATATTCAAGTCAAAGGGCATTAGGGCATTTTCGAAAGAAGGACGCATAAAGTGGGAATATTTAGTCACTGATACCGCTGTAAAATTAGTTTGCCTGCGGCACTCCAGCACCAAAATGCTGCATCGTCCATTGAGCGCCGGGAGATATTGAAAGAAAGCTGACCAGTAAGACCAGAAATTCCAAATAGCACAGCACACGAAAATTATAAAGAATGACCGTTAATGCTTTTAGTTCCACTTCCTCATAATTCAAAACACACAAAAAAATCATTGGCGACGCGCATTGGGCGGACCCGTGCGATTATGCTTTTTTGCAGTGTTTCGTGCTGTAATAAGATCACTCAAAAATTCGCTAGCTAGAAACCTTTTCTACTTACTTTGTCCTCGAATTCCGGGAAGTTAATTATCCACGCTATACTGGGACAGGGAAAATTCCCTTGAAATCCCAGATTCCCAGCTTTCTCAGTTCCCGAGTAACCCAAATTCCAGCCAGAAAA